GCAAATGCTCATCTGATGCTCCCTTGAGCTGAAACGCTGGCATGGAGATTTGAAGGATGAGGAGAAAATCAATAAGAGAGGAGGAAAGGAGCGTTCTGGACTAAAGAACAGTATGTGTCAAGCCCCTGAAGAAGGAAGGAGAATAGGACTGGAAGTGGCTAGACGTAAAACTGGTCAAGAGGAAGGGCACAGGTACGGCCAAGTGCCTTCCATTCAACCCACGGGTCTTCCACCGTGACCCTATAAAGTGGACAGCACTCACACCCAACAGTGACAAAACTATGTGCACACCTATTCAGGAGTGCCAGGTCTCCTTGCCATCAGATCTCACCTCCCACCCTAGAGACACGAAATGCCAGGAATGCACTTTCTCAGTTTCCCCCGCACTAGGATGGACAAGTGACTCCATCCTGGCCAGCGAGAGCTGAGGGAAGCCTTGCAGGGAGGATCAGTCTGAGACAGAGGCATGCAAGAAGGGGCCCCATGCCTCCCATCATGTCTTTGAACTTACCCTGTAGCACACAATGGTTGGCGCTGCTGCAGCCATGTTATAAGCATGAGGAAAAAGGTAAGACAATTAACAAAGGAGCTGCTTGTATAATAACCAAACACACCCCTGACTGCCTCAGGGCTCCTGGATCTACGAGAAAAACAGAGCCTCTATTATTCCGACCACTTTCAACTGTATCTTAACAACCCATAGTCCAAAACATGTAAACGGATGTAGAAAACGAGCCCGAGAGAGGCTGAATAATTCCAAAATTACACAACTGGAAAAGAGGGGACACTTGAGTTTTAAGCACAGGCCTAATGAGTCTACATCCTTCGTTCTTTTCTGCTCTACCATATGCCTCGGACTGTGAATTGAGCAAACACTGTAAACTATAAAACTCCAGGCAGAATTGAGCCGTGACTAATACAACAATGCTAATGATAATACTGGGAAGTGAGGAGATGTCTGAGGCTGCGGGGATGCGGCCTCGGCGGAAGAGCCCGGCCACCAGGTCCTCTGCGGGGACAGCAGGGACGCTCACGTTTGGCCCGACGGCAGAGGGGTCCTCGGAGTCCGCTTTTCTAACGTAGCTGGACTGGCAAGACTACCACGGCAGCCAGAGAATCAGCCCTCACCAGGGCGTCTCAAAATATTTAGATTAATAAAGAATATGCTGAAATTTCTGCTTTGAAAATCGTATTTCCTCCTCCCAACAGGAAAAGGCCCCTGTTTTCTACTCCAACGTGCCAAGAGATTCGAGGGGCCATTGCCCTTGATAGTGTCTAGAGTGTAGTCAGCTGCAGGTATTTAAAGGCGAGGGGGGAGACGTATTTTTCTAAAATACTAATTTAAAGAACAAATCAACATCTATTATCTCCTTCATTATGTTTTAAATTGTCCAACTATAAATCACGCGGCAGCAGGTTATTCAAGGGCAGAATTACCCAGCTTGGCTTTCCCGAAGGTTAGGAGAATGACATCTTGTGCTTTTCCTAGTTTAATTTATAACTTTGCAACAGAACCTGCGTCGCAGGCCCATCCATTAGCAGGGTAGCTGCACATCTGTTAAAACTCAGCACAATGACTGGCTTTACAGGGCCACAGGAAACGTAACCCAATCGTTCCAGGAGTTCTACAAGCTCAAGTTCTTTTTAATGTAAAATGATTTGAAAATGCAGTTCCCTAAAACATCTGCTAAGCTCCTGCTACCCGAACACATGATATTCGTTCTACTGTTACCTGCCAACACAAATATTTGGTTGCACAAAACACCCTGAGAGGCACGTGAGGGTGCTCAGCTTCATATTTACATACCGATCCGCAGAGGGTTGGCCGGGACCTGGGAACTCGGGCGAAGAGGTTGTTTACCAGAACGGAGAGCTTACGTGGGGGTGGATGGAGGGGCGGGCGGTGAATTTCACGAAGGCTCTTTCAAACATGTTAGGAGAAAACATAACTGCACAACCAGATATATGAGGGGCCCTTGACAAAGAAAGTGGATTGGGGAGCAGATGGCGAAGGGTCTGAGACCCAAGCAGCATTTGCTGGAACAAGTTGGGTAAGTTCTCTGTGCTTTCAAGCAAAATGAAGATAACAATTCGATCACTAGAGAAGAGTTTCGAGATCCATGAGGGTCTACATGCTGATATATGGAGCATCACGGTGCCTGGCTCATACTGCCACGTTGCATCTTACCTGAGAGTGTGCCAAGAATCTAAAGGCATCCCACCGGGCAACGACAGCAAATAGCCAGAATTATCCTTCAAAATACAATATGCCTGCTTTTGTGAATTAAGCCCCATAAAGCAACATGTATGTATGAATATATCATATACAGTAAAATACACTATATATTCGTGTTTACATATGCAAAATATAATTTTAGAATATTTAAACTGCATAAAAAAAGACAGAAAACTGCAGACAGGAAAATAAACATATAACGCACACATAATGTATGTGACTTCATTATTTAAAAGCTCCCATCAAACTTCAGTTTCCTTCAAGGTATTTCAAAAGCAGCTAGTTGAGGAATCTTGCATCTTTTTCAAACATTAAAAAAAATTTTATTCCCATTTATTGTTATTTTATCATAAATTAGAGGACGGGGAGACACAACTTCCTCCCCAGGACCCCCAGTACGCCTGCCTAGGCCCCTAGACCTCAAGAGGAAGAGTTGGCAGAGACATGGCTCTACCAGTGGGGGTCGCTGTGCTGAGAATTACTCCCTATGAGTTTCTCATTAGTGATTATTATACTGCAGGCGGCCAAAATGGAAAAATTAATTAATTTCAAAGCGATAATGCATTTACAGCAACAATTAGAAATGTATAACTGTAAAAGGGCAACATTTAAAAGACAGATTACATTTAATAAAGTTACACAAGAACATCCAATTGTAAAATTACTGATCTGCAACAATATTCCTTAAAGAGGCACTTAAAATAGCCTGACTCCATGAAGGGTGACCTAATTACTATAACTAAAATCACCATAGTCACAGCAAGTCACAGCAAATAAAAAAGGGACACTGGTATGACTACACTGCCATTTAATACTGAAGGGAGCGGGCGGTAGTGGGGGAGCAGAGGCAGGGCTTCCAAGCACAAGGCCGGTTGTGTCTCTTGTTTGCTTGACTTTGTACAGTGGAATGCTTACTCCAGCAGCACTCAGGTCAAAGGAAAACCCTTCTCTGCAGTGAAATGCAGAAGAGGTGACAAGGAGCACAGAACACCAGCCGTCTGGTGACAGGACACCTGCACCTTACTAAGCTCCTTCCCAACTTTGCACCTTACGAAGCTTATTACCCAACTTTCGCGAGGGGCAGGGATGGGCATGCACCTGCACGGCTTATTTCCAACATCTGTTTGCATCACCACGGCAGACGTGCATCCTTCACCCATGAAACAAGTCTTCTCATGGTAAAAGCAATGACAAGCAGCACACAGAAGGATAGAACACGCGGTGACTTTTCCAATGAGCCCCATCTCTCCAGCCAGTGAAATACAGTGACCCAGGTCTATGCTCATGCTGGTTTGTCCTAAAACCCAGCGTCCGAAATGTTTATGAAAGAGGAACAGGCGGCTGTGAGTTTGACAATAAGTCTAGTGTTCCCACTCCACCCCTTTATACGCCTATTCATATGGAACCTGATGGCTAAGAAATCCCTAAATAGGTAAGAATATAAATTTAGCTACATATTTCATAGTCTTCCTAATCCCTAGGTTTATCTCAAAGAGTACACTTGTGACATTTAAAAGATGCTATTTTCCAATCACTTGGGACAAGAACATGGAAAGTCTCCACAATGGTGTCTGCAGGGACCAGGTGTACAGGTTGGAGAACCAAGCTCCCTCCACCTGGGCACCCTTCCTACCTTGCCTGTTAACCCTCTCCCTCGGCCTTTGGGTCCAGGGGAAAAGTCCTCCAGCCGCCACCACCAGATTCCCAATTTACAGAGTTCTTTAGTTCTGCGCATATCCACTAGTAGCAACTGCATTTTGGAAAACACTGTTCAGGACCAAGGTAATATTCACAACAACAAGAAGAACAACCGTCATGGCAAGAAGCGCTGCACACCTACCATTCAACAGGCGCTGAGCTCGGCACGTCATTTAACTGCTTCCCAATAGGGCAGCCGTTGAGCACATGTGGCTATTTACATTAAAATTAATTTTAAAATTAAAATGAATGAAATATTTAGTTCTTTATTTATGTTAGCCATTTTTCGAGGGCTCAAGAGCCATACGTGGCCAGTGGCTTCTATACTAAATAGCCAGATTAAAATCTGTGGTTTAGAGAAATACTCCACCAAATATATTGTATAAAATGTGCATTCTTCATTCAAGTTACTTCTTACTGAAATGCATTCAGTAAGAATGTTTCTAGATATGTTTGTTATACGACCATCAAAAACGTAGAAACATCATAGTTACCTTTGTGAACGTTTCCAAATCTAACCGCAGTAGTGTGATTCATCCAAATAATTCATCTTTGGGAAGGCAACACTAAAACACACTTCTAGCCAAAGAAGTATCCCCAGGAGAGGTTTTCTCCCATTAAAAGAATTTAGCACGTCAGACACAGGTTCTCAGTGGAAACCCATCAGCCAGTAAGTCAATAGCCACAAATCCGAGTTCCTCACCTACTAACGCAAAACGCAGTTTGCAAGGACTGCGCTTTCTGAATAATAATTTCTTAAAAATCACATCAAAAGAAAACTAATCATTGCCATCAAGACTTTTAGCCATACTAACACAATATTGAAAAGCCACATCTTCTATCTAGCTCTCCAAGACACCCTTAGAGAAACAGATGTAATCTAATGTCGATCGAAATGTGTTCAAGGGCCCTCGCCAATGCCTTTAACGGGCTCGATGATGTGATTATCAGGACCCGACTCATCGTGACAAGAGGCGAGAGTCTGACGAAAGCACGCCTGGCCTTCTCCAGGACCTTCCCATAAAGGAACGCAGAGGTGTCCGCGAGAGAGAAGCGGCTCACTTACCATGGACTTGGTGAAGGGCCGGGCCAGGGTGAACAGCAGCGTGTACACCCACCAGTTGCGATGCAGGGAGGAGTACATCATGTTTCCTGGGTGCACTGCGTTCGACGTGACCCCCCTTGGGGAGAGGCGGCGATGGAGCTCGTTGGAGAAGAGGATGTTGCAGAGTTTGGACCGGTTGTAAGCCAGCATGGCCCAGTAGTCATTTTTCGAAGGAGAGAGGCGGCTGAAGTCTAGTTTTCCCGAGGAGTCATTGATATCTGTAAATCTGAAAAAACAGAAACTGTGACGTGAAGCAGTCGATCTCTGATGGCTGATAGAGCTTCTTAATTTTTATTGGAAATCTGCAAAACTACACAGAGACTACTAAAAAGTCAATTGTGCGAACATCTGAACAAAGTAGACATGGTGCTATAACACTGTACACCAACGGGATCCAAAGATAGACGTAATAAAGGCCCACACTCATCAATGGAGCAGTCGTAACATGCTGAACACCACCCGCCTCCAACATATATTTTTCAAAACCTTCAACAGGAAGTTCATGGATAATTAAATTAAATGCAAAAGCATCTTAAATGAAGGGCTGCTGCTTTTGGAAGCAGAAAGATATCACATTGCTAACCCTAGACGGGGTTTTCCTGGGTTATTTTAGCCAACGCTTGAGTCCTGCATAGTTTCATTTGAGCATCCAAGTAAATATATAGATGAGTCTTGCTGCCTCCAAGACTCTTTTCCAGATTAAAAATTAATGATTATAAAGGGGTTACAACCTTGGTAAGGTGCCATTAATAGTCTTATATGTTTAAAAGACAAATATAAACAAAGCCAAAATGAGTTCTGGCAGAACCTAATGTTTTTAAGTATACCCACGGCATGGATACACACAAATCAAAGTAAGTAGTTGATGTTTTACAATTGGGTCTGACGGAGTCGTTAAACACCAGCTGTTTGTTTCTGTTCCTTCTTTCTCTTTCTTTCTTTCTTCCTTTTTTTTTAACAACAACAACAACAACATAGTGACCATCCTTTAAAGAATGGATGACAAAAGGAATTCTCCAGATGACAGTCTCATCTTTGTTCAGGGCCTCTTTTTCTTCATTGAATTAGCCCTGGGCATTTGCACTGAGTGATGAGGAAGAACAAGGAGAGTGATGGAGATAACTGTGGTGGGAGACGAAAGCAAAGAGTAAAATGAAAATTATGGAATACTCTGGCTATTCCTTAATATGACCAGTTCAGCTGCGATATGACCCAAAAACGCATCACAGGGGAGGTGAAATGCATGTTTTAATGGACATTAAAGAGCCCTTTTCCAGTGACATTCAATGCCTAACATTCAATGACATTGCTGCTCCGAAGTCATCAACAAAGCTCATGACCAGAAGCACCATCACTGATATGGCAATGGGACTTTGAAACTTATCCTTGGCTGCTGTTTCCAGATCCTCAAACCACAGGGAGAGCCCAGACTTCTGAGCTTAATCCTCTAAGACTTTGGAATTTAGCAGAAAATCCAACAATTTACGGGAGCCTTTTTCTGGTTGTCATAATGATTGCCGGTAGGGCCCGGAACGTGGATGTCCTGCAAAGCAGGTGGTGTCTTGCTCAGTAAGGACTATGCTACACTGAACATTCATGCAGCTGAAAGACTGTGCATAATTAGTAATTATCTGAGCCAGAGCCTAACTGGGTTTTACATATGTGCACAGTTTTAACACCCGCTGAATTTCCAGGAATGCAGTACAACCATCGGATAGACAAGGAGTGAATGCACTTTCAGATTTTGTGACTGGGGGCGGGGGAGGTGAGGCTTACTCAGCTGGTGGTATGGGAGTCCGGACGGCCACACGGCTGTGAAGAGTCTACATTGAACGTCCCACTCCATGTTGTCTGAGACTACCTTTGCTGTCGTCCTGCCCAAGCATTCACATGTTGAAACACATGCTACTGCTTCACATTTAATTTTTTCTTTATATTACCATAAACTAGCATATTGAATTAATATATATTTATACAGGAAAGTTCTATTACTTCTGAGCTATATGTCAACATTGTAATAAGGCAGTGATGTTCAAATAGTGTGCTGCAAAAATTGTTAAAACATGTGATACCTGACTATTTAGTCAGGGGCACGGACCTCTCTTCCTTTAGATTTTCGAATAAAATTTAAAAAAAAAAAATGACAGCAGCCAACATAACAATCACCATCCGGTGTGAATGAATCAAAATTATACCTTTCTTTTTTTTTTTTTTGTCAGATCGGCAAAAAAAATGCATATTTTTTGGTGTGCTGCATAATTTTAGTAATTAGCTTATGTGTGCCCTGTGATGAAATAGGTTGAGAATCACTATAATAAGGTGTTACAGAAGTGTTATTACCGAAAGGGATGGTTGAGTCGAGAACCCAATGATCCAAACTAGGTACAGGCCATGTCTTGGACATGCTACCTACTTGACTAGAAAAGAGTCAGGGATTTAGAGAATATCTAAAAGGCAGCAGATAAACATAGCACCCTTCACTCTCATTCTCCACTCTTCTTCCGTCACTTATTGCCGGAAGCCCTTCTTGGCATATTTGTTTGGCCCAACCCAGCTCAGGCGCCACTTCTTCCAGGAAGCTCTCCCTAACTAACTCTTCCATTGCTGGTCGTCACACTGATTTCTTAGGTGGCAATGGAGGGTAGACTGAAAAAAAATGCAAAGCAGATTGAAATGCACGTTTGCATGGAATACCCAGCCTCCAGGACTCAGGCGATGATATTGTTAGTGTTCAATGACCCTGCCATCCCTCCAAGATCAGTAACGAAGCAAATCACACCATCTCTGCGTTTTGTCGGCATGTTGTGCCTCTGCCTTCACCACACCAGACCGCAAGCATGTGTCACCTGCTTCAGTGCAGGACTGTGAATTTTTAGAAGACACACAGTGAGCGCCTTGCGTGTTGCCTAGCAGAATGTTAAACATGTAATATGAACTAAATACAAAGTTGGAGAACAAACTAAGGGCCAAGTCTCCCATCACAAAAAAAAAATCTTTGTTTTGAGCCTTGTTCAAAAGGCACAATTGACCATTAGGTTCAGATCCTCTGTGTTGTTCATTAGAGAGAATGAAGAATGTGGCGCTTTCAAACGTTTAGAGTGAGTCCCCTACGTTGGTTTTTGGTTTTTTTTTGTTTTTTTTAATCCTCACCCGAGGACATTTTGTTCAGATAGAGTGGGAGGGAGAGAGAGAGAGCAACATCGACGTGAAAGGGACACATCAGGTGGTTGCCACCCGCACGACCCAACCAGGGCCGGGGTCAAACTGCAACCGAGGTACGTGCCCCTAGCGGGAACCGAACCCAGGTCTCTCCGGACCACAGGCCAACGCTCTAACTACTGAGCCAAACCGGCCAGGGCCCCTACATTGGTTTTTAAGGACAATGCACAAGTATCTCATGACTGGGGAACACAATGGGTTGACTAAATTCCTAAAAAGAGAGAAGTCAGTCATTTGGAGCCCCGAGTCTAGAGGTAGGCCCTAGCCGGTTTGGCTCAGCGGTTGGAGCATCGGTCTGCGGTCCACAGGGACCCGGGTTCGGTTCCCGCTGAGGGCATGTACCTCGGTTGCAGTTTGTCCCCGGTCCTGGTTGGGTTGTGAGGGTGGCGGCCACTCGGTGTGTCCCTTTTGCGTTGATGTTTCTCTCTCTCTCTCCCACTCTATCTGAACAAAATATCAAAAAAAAAAAAAAAAAAAAGAATTCTCCGTAGAAACAAGGTAGGCGCATGCACACATACACACACACACACACACACACACACACACACACACCATGATGAGAAATTGCATGGAGCCCAGCTGAAGGGAGGTTTCAAGGAAGCACAGCTGCTAAGTATCAGGCCCACCCTCTGCACACAGCCCTCCCCGTAAGTGGAGCCCTGATTTCCTGCCCTACTGATCTCCTGGGCAGCAAACCCGTCTTTAAGGTCTGATTAGCTCGTGTTGACAGTGCTGCAGGAAGCGGGAAGGGTGGGCGAGGCTTCTGATTCCTGGGAGCCAGGGCGGGCTTCCTGAAAAACAACCCTGCTCACCGCTCAGCTCGAGAGGCAGTAAAACAACTCTTCAGAGGCTGCCTACTCTATGTTCAGGCTGAAAAACCGACAAAGCCAAGCAATCACGTCTTAATAGAATGATCCTCCTCCCCGTACACTAACATGTTAACATTTGCCTTCCGGACATTAACATTGGCTGTTCGAGGGGACCTCTAGCTTGTATTTCTATATACACTGATCCTTTTCTTTTTTTTTTAAACTGAGGATTTTTAAATTCCCAAACTAAAGTAATTAGGCTGGATTCTATGTAGACAAAAGCTAGTACATTCAAAGAATAAGACTGAATTTGCCTCAGAAGCTGTGTGTGTGTGTGAGGGTGTGTGTGGGGGTGGGGGTGTAGCGACTTGGCACTCAACACAGCTGTGGCCATTCAGAGCTGTTCAGCAGCGCTGAGCTCTTTCCCTTCTACTTTAATTGTTATCTGAAAATTTTTCACAGCAAGGAAGCCGAGTTCTCATTTTCATATGATGTATTTTAGGGATGCAGAAACTCAATTCACTTGCTCAGACCCCAGATAAGTAACTAAAATACAGTGATGACACAGGGGTCTAATAAATATTTTGCCTTGGGGCAGTCTGGTGTAATATTTTCTGCAAACATAGGGCTTTATTTTTCCCCTAACAGGGGGTCTTGACTCCAAGGAAGAGGTTCCGCCAAGGTTTATGGAGGTAATTAGATATCAACACTTGCATTTTACAAGGCGGTTTAGGGCTCCGGGCCCTTGAGCAGTACGCAAGTGCTTCCCAGGGCTGCGCACTGGCTCCTCCGGGGCCGGGAGGGGTCCCGGGAAAGTGTAATGAACAAACCAGATCGGGGGATTAAGGCTTTGTAAGAACACCCTTTCATATGTGCAAAGGATCGTCAGGAAGCAGGAAACCAGGACCAAGGACGGGGCAGGAGCAAGCCTCGGAACAGAGTTCTGGAAGGCCTTGTCTACACACCAAAGTGGACCACGACCCTTCCTTCCAGTTCCTCTTCTAAATGAAACTAAGATTCAGATCTCCAAGGTAGGAACAAATTACACTGCCGTGAAGGAGAGAACAAAGACGTCCCATGAAATACCGGTTGAGATACAGATTTACAAAGGGGAGAGAGCAGCTGACAATTCAACATAATCTCCCATTAAATACCAGCTCATTTAAACATATCCCGTGGTGCCCTCCGCATCTGGCACAGGGCTGGGGCTGGCAGATTTATTTCCAGCGCTCACTCTCTTGGGCCTGCCCCCGCCGTAGCCCCCCTCCCGCCTTGACAGGGCCACTCCACTTTCTTTCACAAACCTGGTGTGATTTGCAAAGATAAGGATGTCCAGATTTTGTTACCACCTAATTACTAGATGTTTCGTGTCTTTTAACATGGGGGAAGATTATTACTGGCATTTTCCTTTCATTTCGGCCGTCATAAATTTAAAATGGTAGAAGTAAATCTCTCTGCAGTACGTCACTTATACCCTAAGCCCCTGTGTTTGGGAGTGATAAAGGCTTCAGACTAACCCTTGGCTGGTCTCTCTCTTCCAAGTCCCAGGGGTTACATTTTATGGAAGCATGATTTTAAAAATAAGCTTCATTCTGGGTCACTAAAACATTTCAGGACTTAAGGCGAAGAAGAAGGGGGAAAAATAGGCACTTGCACATTATTTTTCCCAGCTACTTTGCTGAGAGTTAAAGCTCCCAACCACACCAGGAAAATCTCCCCAACATGGATTAAATCTAGCCTCGCCCAGCAAGTCCTTTGTCTTTCGTGAGTGCTTCTCGGCAGGCGAATAGTTGTTTATCCAACTCCAGAAACAAATATGCTGAAAATACGATGAAATTTTCAAATGTCTTTTTACTCAATTGAATATTCTCCTAATGGTGATAGAAAAGAAGTGCCATCTGAAGCTTTAATTGAAATTTTAACCAAAAGAGGCATGGCCAGATTTCTAATATGTTCTAACTACAGTACTTCCCTTCCTACAATTACACAGCTAATGCCTGCATTGAATTCCCTAATTTCTCATTATAAAACAATTGGATTTCATCTCGGAGTCTTTAATTGCATTGTTTCTCCTGCTAGAATAACTGCACATTCTTCTTGGTGAAATGTTGAAGTTGTTGAATGACAAATCAATAAAGGTCAGGCATTCAGATTTAATCAATTATTATTCCATCTCAAAGCAAAATCAATGAGGAGCTTGAAGTAGAGTTGTAAAAACAATCTACGTTGCTGTAGACAAAACCCCCAAATAATCTCCCACAATCACAAAAAAATAAATAAACACACCTCAAAAAATTAGGTAAGCCGGGTTGTGTGCACCCACCCTTTTCAGAGGAGGACTAATGGAAAGTATTTTCAGAAAGAGACCCTTGGGAGAATATTAGCGGGTTCCAGGAAGGTGACCAGTGAACAGAAGATGGAATTCTAACCCACCTATGGGACTCCGAGGAGACCACAACGACTCGGGCCGGGGCTGAGCGGCACAAGACGTCCTGCAGGAGCTGCACCAGGTAGAAGTGCCCCAGGTGGTTCACCTGGAAGGTGGTCTCCAGGCCGTCCTTCGTGAGGCTCCAGGGCAGAGCAAACGCCGCTGCGTTGCACACGAGCACATGCAGAGATCTGAAAAATAAAGCAGCCAACGTTGTGCAGATATAAACACTCTAAACTCAAGGATAAATCATGCTCCCTCAGGCATAATCAATTCTTCGCTATCTCCAAGATTCCAGTCACTTCGAAATGGAATACCCCAGAATGTTGCATCTTAAACCATTCTGATGGGGAAGGGCTTGGACTTTGAGTTGGCCCCTGTCCAGGGTTGCTGGGGAAAGGGGATTCCTGAGATACAGGACTTTCAGTGCTAAAACCAGGGCCATACTGAGCAAACCAGGATTTGTGGGTCACCTTGGTTGGAACCTCGGTCCAACCTCCTAACTGAATCTGGGCTTCTTAATTCGTACAATGCTCAGCTTCTTCAATAGTCCTTACAGCAAATATAAGAAATAAAAGAAAAATATGCTATAAAAAGGTGGACATAGGCAGCAGATCTAGTAGGGGCTAAGTTAACACATCAAGGTACAAATGCTCTGTCTAAAGAGGCACATGTTGTTTGAATATATTCTTTCTAGAGGTCAGATTAAATCTACATTTTAGAAATGAGTTTTGGGGATAGGTAAGCGAAGGCCTCGTATAATATTTTCTTTTGTATATATTTTTTGAATAAAGGTTTTTTAAATATAGCGCTGGCTGGTTTGGCTCAGCAATGGAGTGTCGGCCCGCAGACCAGTGAGTCTCGGGTTTGACTCTGGTCAGGGTACCTTGGTTGCGGCTCATTCCCTGCCCTGGTCAGTCATGGGAGGCAACCAGTTGGTGTGTCTCTCAAATTGATGTTTGTCTCTCCTTCTCTCTCCCTCCCTCCCTCCCACTGTATCTGATGATAAATAAAAAAATATCCTTGGGTGAGAATTAAAAAAAAATTTTTTTAAAGTATAAAGTAAGCCTTTCCTATGAATCAAAATCCTAAATCCTCATAAAGAAACTGGACTTGTGGAAAATCATCCTAAGGTACCAATAAGAATTTTATAAAGAAATATAGTCAAGGCTACCCAGCGTTTATAATTACAACATAAAAACAACAAATTAGAGTTAAACTAAAAATATGATTGGAAATCATTAAATGAATTTGAATACAGTCGTCCCTCACCACCGCGTGCTTTGACTTTCGCGGCTTCACTCTATCGCGGGTTTTTCAAATATATTCATTAAAAAGTTGATCGAGACAGTGAAAATGATACAGAGCGCGCTCGGTTGTCTGAGTCAATTATACACCCCTGTATTACCATTAAAATTAAAATTACTGTACGTATGGACTGTAGGCCTATGTATCCGAGCACCCCAGGAATCCTTCAACGCCAGGTGCAACCGCTTGAGTCTGGAATGGATTAACCGCAATAAACGAGGGACGACTGTATATGTATATCATAGAATACTATGCAGCCATTAAAATAACAAATAAACCAATCTATTGACCTTGTAAAACATTCATGTTAAAAAACAAAATATATACTACTGTATGATCACACATGCACAGGACACACACACACACACACACACACACATACACACAATGGTAAAGAAAGATACACAAAAATGTTAACAGTAGTTGTCTCTTGGGGTGGGTGGAAATGTTGGCGGCGAAAACAGCCCCAGGTGTTAGAACTCGGTTTAGCAACTTTGGTGTTTGGGCTCTGGCTAAGAAAGAACTCAGAACCCGGATTCAGACTATAAGAAAAAAAGTTATTTCGAAAGTCACAGAGGTGGAAGAAGTAAGCCTTACATATCGGAAAGGCCAAAGAAGGGCCCCTGAAGCTTAGGGGCCACAGAGCAGGGTCCACTCAGAAAGAAGATTCCAGGCGGCTTGCTCAAGAGTGAGAGCTGGCTGGGTCCTCAGTCCTAAGGGCTTTAAGGCTGGGGATTTTAGGGGCGGCTCCAGGGGAGAAGCGCAATAGAATATTCATCAGCTACCCAGGTGTGTCTTCAGGGTCTTTGGGTTATGTTCTCCAGGGATTGGTCAGCGCCAGGGCAAGGGGTCATTCATTAGTCAATGCAGCTGGTCTTGATGTCAGATTTTGCTGCTTTTCTGGGGCTGGAGCTGAAACACAACTGAGGTCTAGGTTTCACTCCTCGGGGTTAATGCTTAAGGGAGCGTTTGGCAAGAGCTTGTGTGGGAGTCGCATGAGGCTACTCTCGGCCCCTTGTTCCTCCTCCAGAGGGGTCAAGGACATGGCTAGAAACATGCCAGAGGAGGAAAAGTCAGGGGAGGGTCTGAACCTCATGATCAGCGATATGCAATGTCAGGGGGTCTAAATTTCATGGCCACTGATATGCAAGGGGAGGGAAGGTCACCTGGGGGTGAGGTCCTTGTTTTCCCAGTTCTGCTTGACACCAGGGGCCTTCCTCCCTGGTGACCTTCTGTGCTGGGCCATCGTTCCTGTGCTCATGTCTGTCCAACTGCCTGCCACAGACCCCAACGCGTCTTAAATTGTTTTCCTTCTGAGTTCATTCGCATTTTCTTCATTTTCCCCCCATGATTAAGATATGGTGTCTTTATAATAAGGATAAATGCAATCAAATCAATGCTTTAAAGAAAAGAAGCATTTGGGAATTTGACTAACAAATAAAAGAAGAGAAAAAGAGGCAGGGTAGGGCTATGTGGGGGGTCTGCATCTCGGCCCAGTTTCAGACAAATCACAGGTCTCTGAGATTCTGAATCCTGCGTATGAAATAGGAGGCCGGAAGCTGATGGCGCTGTGTCCTCATGCAGCTCAGATTCCGGGCCAATGGCTTGCAGGTAGTATTTTCTATATGATATAGGAGGTAAAATAATTTCCTATATTTTTTATTTTAAAAAATGCAATGTTTTTTTCATAGTAACTGTTCATGGAACTGTTATTTTCTGTAACAATCTGATTTTGTTCCATCCTCATAAAATACTGTAGCCAAAGAGGATGAGTTTTTAAAAACAAACACTGGTATGAAAGGAAGCCTAAAGGAAAGTCTTTCTAAAAATTAAAATAATCTGTTATCGAAATAAATTTAAAAGGAAGAATGAAAAATATGTGCAATGCTACAAAGGAACAAGATTTTTACTATATATATAAAGAGTGTTTGTGAATCAACAAGAAAGACTTCAGATCCCTACGGCAGTATGAACAATGATGTTTTAAAAGTTTATAAAACTAGATTACAAAGTAACCAGTGCAAGATGTAACCTGCTGAACTCTACCAGTAGCAACATTTTAAATACGATATTCTCTACCTATTAAATTAGCAGATTGGTTTATAGTGTTATCATATATTTATCTTGTATAAAGCGGGTGAGTATATTCCTGCACCCAGTTTATTAGGTTGAAAATAGATATCATGAGAATTAGAAAAGTTCCCACCTCGAGGGAGAAACAGTTTATCACTGGTAATGTTTGGAATTGCCACTGGATGATCACAATAAAATGCCCAGCAACCTTACGTCAGTTTTATTAACTGGTTTTGAATTCTCTACAAACAATGCTCCCCCATATTGCCTATATGTGGGGCAGACCACTCCCACAGCCCTTCTCACACCGTTGATGTGCCACTCAGTACTTCTCTAGGGGGTTCAATGATGGACCCTAAAAGGTATGTCCACGAGGAACCCGTGAATGAGACCTTATTTGGAAAAAGGTCTTGGGAAATGTAATTAAATTTAGATCTTGAGATGAGACCATCCTGGATTAAGGTGGAACCAACCAATGACAAGTGTCCTTACAGAAGAAGGGAAGGGCAGAAGACACCAGAGGAGGAGAGGTGAAGGCCACGGCAGAGCCTGGAGCGTTGCATCCAAAAGCCCAGGGATGCCAAGGGCTGCCCCCCGCACCAGGAGCCAGCGGAAGGGCACTGAATGGACTCTCCCTGGGGGCCCTGGAAAGAACCAACCCCACTGACATCCTGATTTTGGACCTTTGGCCTCCAGAACGGTGACAGCCTAAATTCCTTTTGTTTTAAGTCATCAAATCTGTGATGATTTGTTATAGCAGCTCTAGGAAACTAAGACAGCTTTCCAAGATTCTTTCCTTAGAAAATACTCAAAGTTTATATAAATGTTTACTCATAAGGATGAGTCATAATTATAAGTGAGCCAGAATGATAAAACTGTATATGAACTAGAAGCCACTTAAAATCCAACAGAAGAGTGATGAGCAAAACTACAGTATCCTGCTAGGTACGTGCCAGATTAAATCACTGTCCCTACCCTTCCCTTTGATCCACAAGGGAAAATAAAACTCTTCAAAGCTGTTTTTTCAGCATTTCCGTCTTTAAGACAGACCTGGGCATTTAGAATATTGGTACCATAGCCTCCTGATAACACCACCTTTATCCTTGCCAGTGCATTTTGTCAAGAAAATACAAACTGATTCAAGCAAAGAAACTTGCTTACCAAGGACCTCAGCCTGGAGGCATGAACCCACAGAGGACCTGGGTAAGCCTTTCCTGTTTCACCAAATTTTAATACCCTTCATTAATGTTAATTGCACAACACCAGAGGCAAAATCTGTACCCTGTACCTAAAACTTGTCACCTCCATTAATTAAAAACAGGCTATGGAATATGAAACTATAAAGTGCTAGACTTTTGTTTTTAATTGTAAAGACACTTAATTGGCCTGTACAAAAGGAAAAGAATTCCTTCAGCCTCGATTTAATGAGGTTTTTATTATTCAAATGGTACCTTTTGCTCAGTTTCCACTAAGAGCCATTGCGATTCAAAAGGGTCCGAGATGATAAATATTACAAAATATCAAAGGAAAATTCAAACTATAAAGACAGAATGGAAAACAAAAATAGCATCATTCGGACTCCAAAGTTGATGCTATTAGTCATCACTTTCAGGCACTGATTTTTTCCTTCTTTGGTGGATTCTGGTCTGTGAGAGGTTAGTGAGGACAGCAAAGGTCGTCTTCTGTGTATAGAAGTGGAGATTCCAATAGGGGGCGTGTGTGTGTGTGTGTGTGTGTGTGTGTGCGTGCGTGCATGTGTGCATATGCACATGCGTGTGTTCTCTGCGGTTCTAAACTACCCATGGAGAAA